AGAGAGAGACAGAGAGAGAGACAGAGAGAGAGACAGAGAGAGAGAGAGAAGAGAGACAGAGAGAGAGAGAGAGAGGACAGAGAGAGAGAGAGGAGAGAAGAGAGAGAAGACAGAGAGAGAGACAGAGAGAGAGACAGAGAGAGAGACAGAGAGAGAAGAAGAGAGAGAGACAGAGAGAGAGACAGAGAGAGAGACAGAGAGAGACAGAGAGAGAGAGAGAGAGACAGAGAGAGAGACAGAGAGACAGAGAGACAGAGAGAGAGACAGAGAGAGAGACAGAGAGAGAGAGACAGAGAGAGAGACAGAGAGAGAGAGAGAGAGACAGAGAGAGAGAGAGAGACGAGACAGAGACAGAGAGACGAGACAGAGAGAGAGAGACAGAGAGAGAGAGACAGAGAGAGACGAGACAGAGAGAGAGAGACAGAGAGAGACAGAGAGAGACTGACTGACTGACTGACTTTAACCAAATAGTACAAGCAATGTCCACTTCAGACGTAATATTTGTTCGCACACAAATAGCTCCATCAAGAGTTTGATTAGCAAAGAGTCAATAACGAGGCCTACCTGATATTACCTGATTACCCCTTTCTTTGAGTTTTTGGGATGTTTTTTTTCTAAGAGTATTCTCATCATTAATTTTACATTATTATTATCATTTTCATTATACTCCACTAACATCACTATCATTATCATCATCATCATTATTATCATCATTAAAATTATAATGATATCAACAATACTACTAATAATATACATCTTTCTAAAAATTAAGGAAAATTATGAGGTGAAATTAAGCAGACCTAATAACTGACTCCTTGGTTACTAACTGTCTGTAGACCCATCTATATTCAAACAAAATAAACACTAAAATCACAGTGGACTAGGCATGTGCAGGCTCTCCTGGTCTGATAAAGAAATGTAGACTGAACTCAGCCTTTACATATTACCATTGCCCTCAGAGTATTTTCTTTGCTAAGCACTAAACCCACTGCCAGGACTATACATCCTTGGCTGGCAACTCCTTCTGCATCAAAATATTAATTCCTTTAGCTAAACACTGAATAGCTATCCTCGTGACTTTTCTCTTCCCAAAGGATATTAGCCTTTCTTCAATAGAGCAAATTCAGATCAAGCTGTATGTGCCACTTCATAAGCTGTTATGGTACAACTTCCTGGAATCCTTTCAGTCTTGGCACCAACACAAGAATCTTTGCTTGACCTCCCACCAAGATGGCTCTCAGGATGTTTGAGACAAGTAAGGCTTATGATAAGCCTTCTCAACTTTATATTTATATTTCATAAATATATTTCAAATATATATTTCATAAGCACAGCTGAGAAAAGAGGAATGGCAAGAGAGGAGAGAAGAGGAAAAATGATGAAATTTTTAAAAATCTCCCTAAGATCCTACTTTTAATAACAGAAAGCATATAAACATTGATTTAACATAACATACTAAATATTCAACTAAACCTTCACTCAACTGTTGAAAACACACACAAGATGCAGAATTATTCTTCCAACTTCAAAGAAACATGTGCACTCAAGCACACATGTACGAGCACACTCACACACCCTCAATACAGAGGGCCCACAGCCTTTGCTAACTGATGAAACCAAGGCCTGACTCTGACATAATCAAGTAACATCAAAACTGCTGGGTCTGACTACATGAAGAATGAAAGTCACAAAGCTTCAGACAGCCAATAGTGCTGGAGGTCCCCCAAAATTTTTACACACATAGGGTATATATGCACTGCATCCACTAAGCAAACCACCAAGTTGATTTAGTTAAGTTTGTGTCCCTGCTATTCTGGAAGTGTGAATAAAATGTCAGTTATGCATATCAGAAACTACAGCAAAGGCTTTACCATTGTATTAAACATTTACCTCCACCAAGGCACCCTTTAAAAGCAAGAAAGCATAACAAAAAAGTCTAATCAAAATGATAAAATTTTCAGACAATTCGATGAAGACCATTAATATATGAAGTTCAGCATATCATAACCTTATCTGATGATAGAAAAAATGTAATGAAAATTTTATCACCTCCCAACACTGCATCTAAGGTGGGACGACTATATTACATGTGATCAATTGATGGCCTTTATAGAATTTCTATTATCACAACTTACTACTGTATACTTATTTGCCATTGATGAATAATCAGGAGTTTTTGTTTATCACTGTTCACAGTAATGAACAAAACTATGTAGAAGAGCCATCAATAACCACAAACATTTTATTATGAACTTGTGATAGATGATTGTTTCAGGCAATGGCATAGGATCTCATCATTGTAAAATTAATCAATACTGTCAACCAATCAAAAGTTTTATCAAAGCTATTCCAATTTTTTTTGCGCCATTCATACAGACAAGTGATGTGAATACATAGTCCCAATTACCTAGACTTTCCTACAAGCAATCATCAATCACAAGGTCTAAAAAGACCACTAATAAGAGCAAAGATATAGCACAAAGAGGCAGGTTAACCCTACACTTTGAGGAGCGGAATACACTGCGGGCCAGGCTTGGATCGTCCGCTGCAGTAGGGCTGGTGGGGGCACTGGTAACACGTGCAGGGGGAGCCTTGGCTGGGGAAGGGGGGAGGCTCTCGGTGACCCTCTCACCCCCATCCCCATCCTGGCTACCTTCCCCCCCACCTGAATTACAGCTGGGGGGAGCAGACCACTCACGTTCACTTCGACCTGGAAGGTCATATTAACCCATACAGAGACAAACATTAGTCACACTAGCTTCAGTCAAATCTTCTTGGGTAACAATTAATCATTCTAAACCATTACTAACATTAACATTACAATGCTTTCCCATCCTGTAGAGAATTTACCTAAACTAACATGGCTACTAAAGGATTGGCCCAAACTGTAACAATGACACATCTTTCTAAAAAAAATTGAAAGTAAACAGATACATAAAATACTAAAATGACAAATAACTTGAAAAAAATGACAAGAACGGTTAAACAGATACCTTTACAAAAAGCAAAATACATAAAGTATATAATCAGCTTTAAACTTAAGAATATATGATATATATTCAAAAAATAAACAGCGCCAGTTATACCCACAGTAAATCAAGGCTCTCATTTGCCTGTATGCTTCATATACTTCAGAACCCTGTGATGAATTTCACCTTATTTCAATAGATCATAAACTTTTTAAAATCAAACCCAAACTAAGAACTTATGCAATCAATTCCCAAAGTTTGTCGTTTCTCATCCAAACTGAACTTCATCTCTAATTATCTCAATCAGTTATTCATAGTTCAAACTAAGTTGCAGCAGAGGCTCCAGCTAACGTTCCCATTTGTTTCAGATTGGCCAATACTTATCTTTCAAGCAATGAGTCTGTACTCGGCAGGTGCTTTCAGTAAGGGCTTTAGAATGGTAAGCACCAAAGCAAAATCACCTCTTACCAGGTTTTCTATTGAAATCTATACAGATATCATTTACATTATTTTGGCTAATTAGTAACTCAATTGGTCTCAAATACCCCAAATACCAGTGATCCCATCTTGACTATATCATCTTCTAACTTAAGAGCCATACTTTAAAACAAGTTTTAACAGAGAAGAGATTTTTGTAAATCATTTATGTTTCTGGCAATTTAGTCATCCAGATATTTCTTTTGCTTCAATATGCCATGCACTAACAGGGGTAACCTCATATGTAAGCAATAATAATATCTAACCTTCTTGCATTACACTGCATGTATTTAATTATGAAGTAGCTGCATTCCCTTTATTTATGCAAAAATCACTTCCCTGGTCAACTGAGTTAGTCATATTACAATAGCAATCTTTATTCTGTATACAGTCTGCAGATTCTTAAACATGTTATCATGTCTATTTTATAGCCCAATTACCTGCTATCTTAGACTATATTGAGACATTCCAATGTATAGGACTAACACTGCCATTTATTGTTATAGAAAGGAATCTACATCCTCTGCCTAAAAAACAAAAATCCTGTAGGGGGAAATACAAATCACAAAATGAATCAGAAAAGCATTCTACAAAGCTCATTATATTCAGGTGATCATGTGATAGCATGTGAAAAACTACCTGAAAGAGAAAAGAAGAATTAAAACACTACATATTGCCACAGAGCCAGTAACACAGAGCACACGGAACAACCACATACCAGTGAAAGAAGTGGACGCCACAAAGAGGTTGAGGAGAGAGGTGGTGCGACGGGACGGTTTGCTGTTGCTAGTGCTAGAGTTGTTGCTACCTCTTGTGGGAGGTGTGCACACGGAAGCCCCAGCTGTTTTAATTTCTGGAGAGTGACTGGGATCCTGTGTGATGTTGGTGGGTGTGGAGGGAGGACTGACCGTGACCCTGCTGTTATCCCCCCCTTGCCCCCCACCTCCACCACTTCCTGCTGTGGTCACTGAGGGAGACCTTAGGGTAACCCTGGACATAGAAAACATGGAAGCACGCTCCCTTAAAAACTTTTTACCAGTTTCTTTCCTACCCGACTTTGTGACAACCACAGTACCTCCAGCTAGGACGCCACCACTGGAGCTTCCCCCGCCAACCCCTGCATCTTCTGCTGAGGATTTGGACTGATCAGCAGGTTCGGGCGACTGCTGTCCTGAAACAGCTGATCCTAGAGACCCAGCATCTTCAAAAACCATCACATCTGTAGGATAAAGAAAACAAAAAAAATGTAGTCTTGTTATATGTAGATGTACAAAAAAAAAAGACATACGAGTATATCTAGAATAGAGTACCAAGAGGCATTCTCCCTTCTCTCTATACCACACCATATCCTTTATGACAGGGATTCCCAATCTTCAGGCAACAGAATACTTTCTGGGGGGCCATAGAGCAATATGTAAATGATGTTGAATTCAACTGAATTCTATCTTAACTACAGTATCTACAGATAATAATCTCTCACATGTTAATAAATCACAATCTTTCCATAAAGTGTTCTTGTCCTATAGCTACTGACATCATTACCCTATTCATAACTATCAATAACTGAATCTGAAAAGACAAGTCAGTGAACAGGGCCATGGATATTGTCATATACTGATTGGGTGCCACAGAATGAAAAAGATTAAGAAACCACTGCTTTAAGATGTACACCAAAACTTGACTGTAAAAATACGTGCCTCAAGTATGATATAACAAAATCCTAGTCTGACAAACATTTACCTATTGGTCTCCAGTATATATGTTAACTTCTTGGTGACTAAGTATTTACCAATATATATAAATTAATATTAATAAAACAAAACCACAGTGGAAAGTCCATGTATATATATACTCCTGACATTTGAGGAAGAGCACAATGATACTGTCTACTAAAGCAAAAAAAGAAAAACTAAATCATTCAATAAAGTCAAATTACTGACAAAGGAGTTTAAGGACTGAAGTTGAACACGAATAGTTATCAGCCAAACTAAAGAATTGAGATTTGAAAAAGTAATCCTGAACTAAAGTGACCACTTAAACAACATTGTATTGCTTTTTCACTGGTTGTGCGATAGGTGGAATAGTAATTCAGAGGAACTCCACATTCCTTTAAAGCTGCTGACTACGGTATTGAGATTATGGTGGGGTTACGCCTTTTGGCTTTACAAGGCATTAGGAACCCTCTGGCATTGTGAAATAAGAAAAATAATCTTGAGGTCTTATAACTAGCAGGCACAAGTGCTGGATCAGATGGGTCATGAGAGAGAAGGGTACTTATGTGGCACTCATGCCAAAATTCAGTACTAACCACAATATTGAAGCAATGCATATAATGGACCAGACAGAATGATTGATTACTGCAGTGATTAAGAACTACAAATAAATAAAACTGAGGAGTGACAGTGACAAACAAGGATAAATGTCAACTGAAGCAAGCAGAGACAGTGTTAAAAATCAACATCAGTTCTCCAGAGGAGACAAAATACACGAAAGGATAAGAATTCACCTTGCAATGTAAGTAATAGTAAGTTAAATCATCTCTCGTGTTTTTATCATCAATTATTTTTTTTAGTACAATCCAATATCATACAAGGGAATACTAATGACGGTGCTTCAACAGAGCACTTACAAGAAAACAAGTCTATTTCGGAGAGAGTTAACTAAGAAATCTGTCTCCAATGTCTGCATGTAAACATATATGGCATGTGATCAAATTTAATTATCCTTTTCTCTCTGTGATGATGAATAGTACAGAAATACAAGTAGGGTAGTCCTAGTATCATAAGCGTTGTTTATATATCTATTTATCAAACTATCTATCAAACTATCTATCTATATATCTATCTTATATACACATAACTTTTTCTTAATAGGTCTAACCTACAAGTCTGGCTAACCTCACAAAATAAGGGAAAAGCTTGCTTATCTTTAAGAAAATTACCTCGAGTGTAGGAAAGATGCACATTACAAACTAACATACTTGTTATGCCTATTCCTTGAACTTTATATAAAAACAATTCATGGGAGTTTTAATGTATCCTCCAGTGGTTCATAACTTATCAGGATTTTATCATGGTAGACTAAATATAATGTAAAACAGGGGCTCCATTCTTACTCACATGGTTTTTCTAATCCTGTATGTTTTGAAAGCGCAAACTGGTCAAGCAGTTTTTCCACTGAGAACTGAGAGTACTGGCTGAGAAGGTCACGGTGTACCTGACCCATTGCTTCATGGTTGCTTTGTAAAACATTTATGTAGGTTTGCACAAACTGTAGCATTTGTGCTAAGTGAGACTCCTCCACACTTTGAAATTTCTGAAAAAGCATTTTTACATATAATTCGAACTCTATTTCACCATTTTACCCTATAAATCTTTATCAAATATTCAAAAATATAACAAATTTATTCATATGTATAAACATACCATACACGATGTAGTCATCCTCTTCTCAAACTCCTCCCTAATATTATTATACTTCTCCACTAGTGATCGATATTCATCATGAGCTTTTCGCAATTTAGCTTCTGCCTTTTCTACATCCTTTGGCGATGCACCATCTCTCCTTACTTTTTCTAAATCCTGTTAACAATTAGTAACAGAGACAAAGAAATGAGATGTAACGCAAAATAAATAATTTTTCTACCAGCATAATACTAATATTTACCAAAACATACTTCCTTCAAATATATAAAAATACATTAAATATCAAAATGTTAGCATCCAAAAGCTATTTCACTTTACAAAAATGCTATAGTTCTGTTTTGTGAAATGTCTCTACACAAAAATGGCTCCACGAGTGCTAAGCCACCAAGGAGCCAATTAGTAGACCTCATGACCTACCCTTATTAAACCTTTCCTAGAGTTTTCTTGAAAATCTTTTTACTAATGCTATCAATAACAATGCTGTTCTTTTTGCTATAGACATTATAATCATTACAATATTACCAACATTACTAATAACATTACAAGAGAAAAATATTATTTCCTAAAATCAATGAAAAAAGTAAAAAGTGTGATAGATAGTACTATTAATTAACTCCTCGGTGATTAAG